GGGGAGGAGAGTCTTGATTAACCGGGATTCTTCAGTACACAAAGACAAACGTTAATAGGAACATTCACAACTGGCTTTGAAGTGACAATTTTCCTGTTGTAACATCATATATCATATATCATCATACATATATTTACTATTGCTGGACATCAGTATAGGTACTGACTTCAGATCTATTTTTATTCCTGTTTCTTTCATGTTTTCTGACCCCAAATGTTAGGACCTCTCTCCAGAGCCACAGTAGGAGCGTTGCCTCTGTGTCTGGATGCCAAAGACACACCTGCCCTTCTCTAAAATAGCTTCCTGAAAAGAAATTCCTTGAGCAACAAAGAAGACGTTAAGTTTGATTCCAAGTTAAATGACTTCACTTTCAATTAGGGGCTTTCTTACAGTAGAAAAACTATGAATGGACTCTATTTGCTCGTCTTTGTCCATCATATCGATCACTTCTGACCACAGAACCTTTAATTGCTCCAATATTGAGCTTTCTACATTTCATTCTAAAGTAATCACATGAACAAACCTCAGCCTCAAAATAACCCAGTGTATTTTGTCTTTTGCTTTAAGCGTGACATTAATTCACTTTTTAAAAATACCATAAGCCAGTAACAGAAGACCTCCCAGTGCCTCAACAGATGAAGGTATCATGTACCGTGAGGTGATAAAAGTAAAGCACATGGTATTTTGCTGCTACTGTACAGACACATTAAAGATACATGAACATAAAAGGGGTGTTAATCTTTTCACTATTTGTTAGCATGCAGTCACCCAGAAGCCAACACACACACACACACACACACACACACACACACTGACACATATAGACGCTGGATTTGTTGCTTATGAGGAAATTGCATTGGCTTATATTAATTCCATGGAGACGTGCTCAGCCCCAACCCTTAACCTAAAAACAAACAATCCTAGAAAGTTGCTTGTTTGACTTGCGGGGAGCAGATGTGTGGTCTTAAATAGGAAGTGAATCCCTTAAATCCGAATGTGAACACAACAGGTTTTCACGGGACTGGACGGATTAAATAAGCGCTGGATATTTTATGCTGTTACAATCGCGTTTCACTCTCGCCGTCAGAGTGACGGTTATGAAATGTGCGTTTATGCGTGCGTGTTCATCTCACACCTCTTGTCTTCCAACAATGACACATGAGGAAACCACAGACAACAGGAGTGAATTCGCAACCACAGAACCCAGTAGCTCTACAAAATGCTGCCAAGTATACAGATGAGGACTCTATTGTGCATTTCCACAATGTAATGTGCCTACAGACACACAAAAGAGAGTGTGTGTTTGCTTTGCCCCCCCCCCCCCCAAGTGCGCACAAGAAGTCATCTCCGAAGCCGTGTGTGTTAGCGTCTTCATGTCTGTGAGTGTGTGTGTGTTCTGACAGGTGAGAAAGCTCCCGACATAATGAGGGTTGTACACCACCAACTCTCCCATCATGTTTTCTGTCTGCTTTGCATGGAACTATCACCACAGTTATGACCCAAGCTGTCACAGCACTGTGAGTGTGTGTGTGTGTGTGTGTGTGTGTGTATGTGTGTGTGTGTGTGTGTGTGCACAGCTCTGTGCGTATGTGTCACAGTTCCTGTCATATTTTCCCAAGAGAACGCCTCATCCCAGCGACAGATTCCTCCTCCTCTTTTCTGAAATGACAACTTTGTTTAACGGCTTTTTGTATCCGGACAAGATCTCTTTTTCTTTCTCTTCCTGGCTCACTCCTCCCCTCATTATTTCCCAGTGTTTCACTTTTCAACGATTTTCTTTTTTTTTTGTTTTTCTGTCATTCTTTGTCTTCCTCCTTTTCTCTCTCTGTCCCCTTTCCATCTGTGGCTTTCTGTAATGTGCTGTCAGGCACATAACCAGTGGCCAAGAGCCAGTGTGTGGGAGACACAGAGGAGGCAAAGATGGGGGGGCGACAGGGGGGATATTAGAATTTTTGAATATTTGAATTTAAAACTCTTTTATTAATGGCGTTGACAGGGAAAATAGAGAGTGGGCAAGACACATAGATAAAGATAGAGAGGGAGAGAGAAAGAAGTCCACACACCCAGAACATTGGGCTACACCTCCTGCTCTCCATCATCACGTGTACTGTACTTTAACAGAGTCAAACCCACTTTTGTGATTTGATCAGACCTCACAGTGCTACCTGTTGTGCCAGGTGGGCAGTAATTCCTGTGCTGCTGCTCTAAAACATCGATCAAATCATTATTGTATGATCAGAAAATCATCTGACAAAATACTGGCTAACAACAGCAGCTGGACAGTGTGACTGGGTGGGTTAGAGCCGACAGAAATTTGGCTGCTTTGCTGCACAGTTGCATAGCCTGCGAGCATGTCTGAGCGGCCTCACATAATAAATTTCCATGTCCACACTAAAAACCTGTTGTTAAGCTTTATCCACTTTGGAGACCATTTAGGAAAAGCTCTCTTTTCAGGTGTAGACGCAGCCCCCACCCCACCCCCACCCCCACCACTCTCGCAAAAAAAAAAAAAAAAAACAATTTCAAATTTAGCCAGCACAGTGTGAACGCAGTCAGAGAGAGAACATGACACTGCATTCACTCAGCCAACACCTCCCCTCAGACAGGCAGAGACAGGTGTCCCTCCCTCCCTCCCTCCCTACAGCTCTGTGCCTTTAGTAGAAAGCAGAGAGACATACGCAGCTTCTTAAGTCAGCACACACACACACACACACACGTGCACAAGACACCTGCACAAACACACACTATCTGTCCAGCACATAAACACACGGATGCACACACAGAGCCTGCGGCCACGGACTCAGATGGGTCCATAGAAGGGTTTGAGGTTTCCAATCCGTCTCTGTGTAGGAGGAACACAGCTTCTAACAAACTGTTTAATCCCATCATCGGTCTCTCTCTCCTTCTCTCTCTCCTCTCCCCCATTATATTTCACTGCAGCCAATCAGTAGTTTGATGAGGTTTGCCATAGGGAAAAAATCCTGAATTTGTTTCTCCCACACTTTCCCCTTAAATTTGCCTGTTAACAAGCTGTGAACAGGATTTTTTTTCTTCCTGCTTGCATGAAGGAAATGATGATAAAATAAATTGCTGTTCCAAAACATATAAAATGGGAGGTTACGGATATAAAGGACAAGCATTCGTGACGGATTGCTTATACAGATTTGTGTCGAGTTGTGGAAGTAGACTTATAGACAAGTCAGCTGACTGGAGGATCTGACATTATGTGAGATTTATGTTTGTGTGTTTTGGGGGTAGGTGAGTTTCAAGAGCGAGAAAGCTCTACAAAGCCTTTCTGATGTG